GCCTTCCAAGGTCAAGCTCATGCTCCCTAAGCTTTCCAAATAACGCCGCCATAGACATAGTGGCAAGATTTTGTGACTCCGAGATGGCCGTCACCTTAGGTTGCCATTTCCTATCCAAAGATTTCAAAATTTTAACATTTAATTCATCAACGTCAAATACTTTACCTAATCCGGTGAGATGATTCACAATATGAGTGAAACGCTTTTGAACGTCGAAAATCGTTTCGCCGGGTTGCATCCGGAACATCTCGTATTCTTGGATTAGGGAGTTTTTACGCGCTCTTTTGACGTCGTCAGTTCCTTCGTGGATTACTCTAAGCATTTCTCACATTTCCTGTGCACTTTTACAAATAGGAATTCTGTAGAACTCATCAAGGGTTAGAGCAGATGAAATAATATTTCTAGCCCTAACATCAAATTGTGCTTTTCGACTTTCTTCAGCAGTCCATCTATCAAAAGGTTTAAGAACGTCAACACCGTTCTCGTAATTTTAGGAACAAATGGACCGTTTAAAATTGCGTCCCAAACGCCTCTATCAACAGTACTCTAAAAATATTTGCATACGTACTTTCCAAAAAGGATAATTTTGACCCGCAAAAGTGGGGGTCTCGTTGATAGACGCACCTTCGGCAAAAGTTTGATTTTGTCCGACCATTTTCGAAAATATTTGAATGACTATCAAAGCAAGCTCGATACCACTTGTTAGAATCGCGCAGCTGAATGTTCGCGTGGTCTGGACAAAAACCAAGAGGGGGGTGAATTGGTTTCTTAATAAAAATTAGGTTTTCAAATTTTTCCCCAAATTTTACCGATTAAAAACTGCGTAAATGTAAATAGAGAAGAGTAGAGAAGATTACACAAGTAGGTTTATACCGGTTCGGATCAAAAGACCCTACGTCCGATTGCTAATCACTCAAAAGAGGATTAACGCTGTCACTAAGAACAAATTGTTACAAACAAATTACAAATGAACAGATAAAGATCAGAATACACCTCTCTTGAAATCCACAAGAGATGATGAACAGCTTTCCCCAGAGACGGCACATCACACAATCCACTAAGAACTCCACTTAGTGATTCTTATCGCTTCTAGCCCACACCAGGTTCAGAAAGCCCCCTTTCCTTGCAACAAACAGTTCTCTGGCACTCACAACACTTAACTTTTGTATGGAAAAGGTTGTTCTTCTTTTCTGAGTGCCAAAGGAGAGTTTAAGTAGGGAAATTAGGGTTTAGGATTTGGGGATTTCGAAACTAGGGTTCTTGGTAATTGGATTTTTGAAAATAGGGTTTGTTTGATGTTTAAAATTAGAAACAGATTGAAATAATCGATTATTTGGAGTAATAATCGATTAAAACAGAGCCAAATATGTCAGAACCCAATACTCTCTGGTTTAATCGATTATTTGGTGAAATAATCGATTATCTGTACGGAACTGTACGGAATAATCGATTATTTTGCTGTTTAATCGATTAAAGTAGTGAGTTTGTACAGAAAATGGTTTTCTCACTATTTTAATCGATTATTTACTTATTTAATCGATTAAAGCCGAGCCTGAATGATAAATTTGAGCTTTTTGAAGCTTCTAAGTTACAGACTATGTACCGACTATCTTAGATTCTATAATTACAGACTCAATCAAGCTAAAACAGAGTTATTACAATACAAAAATCATCAATCTTCAATCTTCAATACTCTAAGTCTTTAAGCTCTTGGATCATCATCAAAATCAACATTCTTCATGATTATTATTTGCAACATCAAGTCCTTGAATGTTCAACAGAAAATGCCATCTTTAAGTTGCTTGATTTGAAGTCCCAGAAAGAATGTCAATTCTCCCATCATAGACATTTCAAACTCTCCCTGCATTATCTTAGCAAATTCTACACATAACGAATTATCATTTGATCCAAAAATAATATCATCAACATATCCCTGGACCAATAAGATATGTTCTTTAACTTTCTTTATAAACAGAGTAGAATCAATTTTTCCTCTAGAAAAATCCTTTGAAGTTAGGAAAATACTTAGCCTTTCATACCAAGATCTAGGAGCTTGTTTCAACCCATATAATGTTGTTTTTAATTTAAAAATATGATTAGGATAACTAAAATCTTCAAATCCAGCTGGTTGCTCCACATAAACTTCTTCTTTAATAAAACCATTCAAAAATGCACTCTTAACATCCATTTGATATAATTTAAATTTCATCAAAGATGCATAAGCAAGAAGTAGGCGTATAGTCTCTAACCTGGCAATAGGAGCATAAGTTTCATCATAATCTATACCTTCCTCTTGACAATAGCCTTTGGCAACAAGTCTGGCTTTATTCTTTGTTATGTTTCCATCTTCATCAAGTTTATTTTTAAACACCCATTTGGTTCCAATAACTTGATGTGATTCTTCCCTTGGGATTAATTCCCGGACTTGATTCCTTTCAAATTGGTTAAGTTCTTCTTGCATTGCTATGCACCATTGGTCATCTTTAAGTGTTTCGTCAACATTTTTGGGTTCTATCTGTGACACAAAAGCTACAGACATGCAAAAATTAGTCATATTTCTTGTTCTTACCCCTTTTGAGATATCACCAATGATATTGTCCATTGAGAGTCCTCTTGGTGATTGCCATTCTTTTGCTAATTCAGGCGTTTGAGAAGGCTCATTTTCTTCCAAATATAATTCATCAAGAGCCTCTCTTATATACTCATCATCACCTGAAAGTTCTTTATTTGACTCAAGAGGATTTCCCCCAAGGTCTACAATCCCATCAAAAGTAACATGAATAGATTCTTCAATATTTAAGGTTCTTCTATTAAATACCCTGTAAGCCTTGCTAGTTAATGAATAACCTAAGAAAATGCCCTCATCGGCTTTAGAGTCAAATTTTCCTAAGTTGTCCTTTCCATTATTTAACACAAAGCACTTACATCCAAATATTTTTAAATGAGCAACATTAGGCTTTCTACCATTTAACAATTCATAGGGAGTTGATTTTATAATTGACCTAATGAGCATTCTATTTAAAACATAACAAGCAGTACTAACCGCATCAGCCCAAAAATATTTAAGAACATTAGATTCATTTAACATTGTTCTAGCAAGTTCCTCTAATGACCTATTTTTCCTTTCAACTACACCATTTTGTTGGGGAGTCCTAGGAGCAGAAAAGTTATGTAATATTCCATTTTCTTCACAATAACTTTCAAACTTTTCATTTTGAAACTCACCACCATGGTCACTTCTTAAAACTTGAATTCTTAAGTCTTTCTCATTTTGAATTTGTTTTGCAAATTTTCTAAAGACCTTAAAGGCTTCACTTTTCATAGTTAGGAAAAATGTCCAAGTATATATAGAGTAATAATCAATAATCACAAGGCCATAATAATTTCCACCAAAGCTTTTTATCCTAGAAGGTTCAAATAAATCTAAATGTAATAATTCTAGGGGTTTTGAAGTGGAAATAAAATTCTTTGATTTAAATGATGATTTTACTTGTTTACCTTTTTGACATGCATCACACAATCTATCTTTTTCAAATTTTAACTTAGGCAAACCAACAACTAAGTCTTTTGATATCAATTTATTCAAATGATGCATATTTATATGAGCTGCTCTCTTATGCCATAACCAAGGGTTCTCTTCCTTAGCAAGTAAACATGTTATACGAGAATCATGTAAACAATCCAAATCAATCAAGTATATGTTATTATGCCTAATACCTTTTAATTCTACATTTTTGGAATCTATCAAATGTATGGTGCAAAGTTTACTTTCAAAGATTACCTTAAATCCTTTGTCACATAGCTGACTTATGCTAAGGAGATTATGCTTTAGTCCATCAACAAGAAGCACATCCTTAATCTCCAATGTGTTTGCGCCACCTATATTTCCAATTCCAAGAATTTTCCCTTTGTCGTTGTCCCCATAAGTTACATATCCTTGTTCTTTAGATTTGAAACTCACAAATTTTGATTTATCACCGGTCATATGCTTTGAGCATCCACTATCAAGATACCACATAGACTTCTTAGATTTGGAAGTTTCCTACAAAACAAGAACATAGTAAACTTAGGTCCCCATAACTTTTGGGTCCTTGGGTTTAGAGACAAATAAATTATTTAACAATAGGAACCCAAATGTATTTACCTTTAGGAACACCAAAATGTTTAATTTTACATTTATTTGAAGTGTGACCTTGTTTCATACAATAAAAACATGCTTTAGATGTAACTTTTGAATATGATGAATTTTTAACCATAGATGTTCTAGTTCCTTTTTCTACCCATACTCTTTTATTTTTCCTTTTAGGCTTTTTCAAAGGAACATGATAATTTACACTATTTTGAGCAAAAATAGTTTTATCCTTCTTAAAATCACTTATCTCCTTTTCGGCTTTATCAAGTAGATGATTAAGAATATCTATGTCATATTCATACTCTTTAGAAGTTTGACATGCTAAGTTCTTATCATCATTCTCATCTAAACATACAATTTTCCACTAGTGGAAAAATAACATTCTATGACGAGTTTTTATCACGGTCGTAATCCACCCGTCATAGTATGTAGCGCGGTGGCAATTTTGTAATAAAATCATAAACTTTTTATGTCGGGTAATAGGTAACCGACATGGTAAGTGGAAAGTTCACTTTTTATGTCGGGTAAAACTTAACTGACATAGAAAGTTCATTTTGTATGTCTGTTAAGTTTTACCCGACATAGAAAGTGAACTTTCTATGTCGGTTAAAATTTACCCGACATAGAAAGTGTATTTGATGACGGATGTTAGGACAACTGACATAGTATCTTCTGTTTTACACCTGTTTCGGCGTTCCATTTCATCACTTCACCCATAGCAGAGCTTCCCGTTCTCTCTGTCTCTTCTACGAACGTGATCGCCTTTGTACGTTTCTCCCCACTCAGCTCTCTGCTCGTTATAGTGCATTCTGGAAACATTAACATCAACAGAGTTGGCTCATCACGAGGTAACATGTCAAATATGCCTCTAACTATCCCAGGTTTTCCGCACCCTGATATTAATAACGAGCGCGAGGTTGAGGTCCTGTAGTTTGTTGAGGTTCCCGAGAGAAGTTGGAATGACGCCAACGAGGTTGCATTGGGTAAGCCAGAGAACCTCGAGGTTGGTAAAGTTCCCAAGCTCTGGAGGGATCCAACCCGGGAAGAAGGGGTTGTAAGAGAGGTTGAGCATTTTCAAAGAGGATACATTGCCCAAGGAGGGGGGGATGGTGCCTTCTAGAAGATTGGAGACGAGGGAGAGGACTTGGAGGTTCTGGAAGGTTCCGAAGGAGTCCGGGATGGGGCCGGAGAAGCGGGAGGTTGGGGAGGAGCGGGAGAGGTCGAGGTGGCGGAGATTGGGGAGAAGCGGGAGCGTGGCAGGGAGGAGACCGGTGAGGAGGTTCTGGGAGAGGTCGAGGTGGCGGAGATTGCGGCAGAGGGAGATGTCGAGAGGGAGCGTTTGGTTGATGGAGTTGTTTAAGAGGTTTATGGAAAGGAGGTTGGGGAGACGACAGAGAATGTTGGTGAGGAATGGGCCTCCGATGTTGGTGTCCGACAGGTCAAATGCTGTTACAGTGGTGTTCGAAGTGTCGCCGGCACATGTCACTCCATACCAGTTGCAAGGGGTGGCGTCCCTTGAGTTCCACGACGAGAGAGACGCGTCTGGGTCGTCGAGAGAGAGCTTGAATTTACTTTCTATGACCCCTGTATCTATGTCGCCGCTTTAACCGATGTAGAAAGCCCATTTTAACCGATGTAAAAAGCCTTTTTTGCAGTAGTGTTCGTTTCTAAGGATTCCTTTTCTTCTAAACATGTGATTTTCGTTTTTAATGAGTCAATTTCTTTTTCGGATCTACTTAAACTCTTCTTCACAACTTTATATTCATTTTTCAAGTTCTTAAAGGCACTAAATAATTCATTATATGCATTTTGCAGTTCATCATAGTTATTATCATCATCACTAGAAGATGAGTAGAAATCACTTACCTCAAAATCGGAAGATATGTTGTCATTTGCCATTAAGCAAATATTGGCTTCAACTTCCGAGTCACTTGATTCCGAACTTGAATCACTGTTGTCCCAAGCAATATAGGCTTTCTTCTTGAAGAACTTTTTGCCTTTGATTTCATCGTTTTTCTTGTTTGGACATTCGGTCTTCATATATCCTGCTTCACCACAACCATAACATTTTATATTTACAGGAGTACTTTCTCTTACCTTTCCCTTACCTTTGAATGAATGCCTTCCTTTGGCTTTCATGAATTTGGTGAACTTCTTTATCATAAGACTCAATTCTTCTTCTTTGTTCTCTGAGTCTTCTTCTTCCTTTTTATTTTTACCTTTGGAAATTTCGGTTTTGAAGGCTAAGTTCTTCTTTTGATATTGTCCTTCTTCTTCATTTAACTTTCCAAGCTCTAGCTCATGCTCTCTTAGCTTTCCAAATAGCGCCGCCATAGACATTGTGGAAAGGTTTTGTGACTCCGAGATGTCCGTCACCTTAGGTTGCCATTTCCTATCCAAAGATTTTAAAATTTTTACATTCAATTCATCAACATCAAAGATTTTACCTAATCCGGTGAGATGGTTCACAATATGAGTGAAACGCTTTTGAACGTCGAATATAGTTTTACCTTGTTGCATCCGGAACATCTTGTATTCTTGGATTAGGGAATTTTTCTGTGCTCTCTTAACGTCGTCGGTACCTTCGTGGGTCACTCTTAGCATTTCCCACATCTCCTGAGCACTTTTACAAACAGAAATCCTGTAAAATTCGTCAAGGGTTAAAGCAGATGAAATTATATTTCTAGCCCTAACGTCAAATTGTGCTTTTCTGTTTTCCTCTGTTGTCCATCTAGAAAAAGGTTTGGGAATGTCAACACCGTTCTCAGTAACTTTAGGAACATATGGACCGTTTAAAATAGCGTCCCAAACGCCTCTATCAATAGACTCTAAAAAAATTTGCATTCTTACTTTCCAGAAAGGATAATTTTAACCCGCAAAAAGTGGGGGTCTGTTGATAGACGCACCTTCGGCAAAAGTTTGATTTTGTCCGGCCATTTTCAAAAAGTTTGAATGACTATCAAAGCAAGCTCTGATACCACTTGTTAGAATCGCACAGTGGAATGATCGCGTGGTCGGACAAAAACCAAGAGGGGGGCAGAATTGGTTTCTTAACAAAAATTAGGTTTTCAAAATTTTCCCAAATTTTACCGATTAAAAAGCTGTGTAAACGTAAATAGAATAGAGATAGAGTCTTACACAGGAGATTTATACTGGTTCGGATCAAAAGACCCTACATCCAGTTGCTAATCACTCAAACAGAGGATTAACGCTGTCACTATAATCAAAGTTGTTACAAACAGATAACAATTGAAAATACAAAGTAAAGAAAACACCTCTCTTGAAACCCACAAGAGATGAAGAACAACTTTCCCCAGAGACGGCACAACACACAATCCACTAAGAACTCCACTTAGTGATTCTTATCGCTTCTAGCCCACACCAGGTTCCAAAAGCCCCTTTTTCCTCCAACAAACAGTTCTCTGGCACTCACAACACTTAACTTTTGTTTGAAAAAGGTTATTCATTTTTTCTGAGTGCCATAGAGAAGCTTAAGTAGAGAAATTAGGGTTTGGGAATTGGGAATTTCGGAACTAGGAGTCTTGGGATTAGGGTTTTCGAAAATAGGGTTGATTTGAAGTTCAAAATCAAAATTTGACTGAAATAATTGATTAAATGAAGTGTTAATCGATTATTACAGAGCCAAAATCAACAGAACCCCAAAACTCACTGTTTTAATCGATTAAAAGCCCTGTTAATTGATTAATAGGCCTGTTAATCGATTAACAGGTGTGTTAATCGATTATTACAGTGAACAGATACAGAAAATGGTTTTTCTCACTGTAATAATCGATTATTTGACCATTTAATCGATTAAAGCCGAGGCAAAAAGATAAATTTGAGTTTTTGAAGCTTCTAAAGTGCAGACTATGTACCGACTATCTTAAACTCTAATATTACAGACTCAAACTAATCAAAACAGAGTTATTACACTATAAAACAAGTCTTCAACTCTCTAAGTTCTTGTGTTCTTGGATCATCATCAAGATCAACAAGTTTCATGTCCATGTAAGTTCAACAAGTACTACAACAGTAGTTGTTATGATATTTGGTGGTAAGGACAACTTGCACAAAGTCTCTTGAACCTCTCCCAATACTCATATAAGCTCTCTCCCATCTGTTTCCTGATACCTGATATATCCTTCCTGATGGCAGTGGTCCTGGAAGTAGGGAAGAATTTCTCTAGAAAGACTCTCTTCAGATCATCGTAGCTCGTTATGGAACAAGGAGCTAAGTAGTACAACTAGTCTTTGGCCAGATCCTCCAAAGAGAAAGGAAAATCCTTCAAGTATAAGTGATCTTCAGGAACATTTTATGGCTTCATGGTGGAGCAGACTATATGGAACTCCTTGAGATGCTTGTGTGGATCCTCACCTGCACGACCATGAAACTTGGGCAACAAATGGATTAGTCCAGTTTTAAGCACAAATGGTACATCCTCTTCAGGGTATTGGATACATAAATTTGCATAAGTGAAATCAGGTGCAACCATCTCCCTAAGAGTCCTCTCATGAGGTCCAAAATTGTTTTGCTCACCCATGTTATCAAAATCAAGATTATGTTCAGATGTAGCAGAATGGTCAGATGTAGAGGAATGTTCAGAATTATGCAGATTTGAGCTATCACTAACAGGTGGATTCCTATTATACCTAACTAACCTATGGTAGGTCTTATCAACTTTAGGGTCAAATGGGTGTAAAATTCCTAGATTACCTCTAGTCATGCACTCTATACAACATATCAAGTAGTTCTCAAACAAGCTTAAACAGGGGGTAAAACTGGAAATTTTTTGAAAATTTTAAGAACCACTAAAACAACTGCACCACAATTATCCTAGGATCAATAGAAACTAGCACAAAAAATTTCAGGTGAAAACTCAATGGTTAAGTACATGCACAAAAAGGTCAACCTTACCTAAATAGCCCACAAAAAGTCAACAAAATCACTAAAAAATTCAAATTTTTAGCTACAAAACTCAATTTACCAAACCTTTTGGTCAGCATGGACCTAAAATCATAGGATTCAACAGACAAAATCAGCAAGGCAAAATGCTAAGTCTAGCTATGTGAACCACCTTAGAAAATTTTGGAAAAATAGGGCAATAAAACTTCAAAAATAAAAAAGAAATAGTAAATGGCCTTTTTTTGGACCTCTAAGCAAGTCCAAACAGCATAGTTGTCTAGGTTGTGTAGATCTCATTCTACCCCAAAAGCATATATAATACGTCCAATTTTGATAACTAGAGCAACAGTTATGGCCGTTCGAAGTTTTCATAATTTTCTCTTCACCAAACACTTGGAAACCATATCAAATGAATGAATTTGGACTTCTCCTTTTGCATGCACTTAATACATGATGAAAGAAGTGTGGACACCAAAAATGAGGGAAAAATGCCTTGAGGAAGTATTGTTTTAGATTTTCCGAAAACTAGTGAAAAACTGGCACTATTCATCTAGTAGAGGGAAAGGAATAGTGTTTTCTGCAACCTACACAATCTGAAATCTGCACCACCTCAACTTCAAACTGAAATGCCCTCTTCTATGCTACCATAAACACAACACAACCTATCATAAAATCACATTACACAGCATCACATAAGAAAAAAAATCATTGTTCCATTGGTCATCTATTTTGTACTATTGAATTGGTCAATTTACTGTTTCATTGGTTTTTACTGCTACCAAAATTTAACAACTCCAATTCTTTGTAAGCTTGCAATATAATAGCAGAGAGGGCCACAATTAACCAATGTCGACACACTACAGAACATCACAAAACACTTACAATAGAACACTAACAAGACAGGATACAAAATTGCACAAATGAACTACCCTAAACTAAAGTAAACAAAATTTGAATTATGCAGACACACTGACTGATACGTGTCGCCGCCATCAAAATGAGGCGGTCAGAGCGACGCGATGGTTTCCAACTTTCCATTTTTCGCATTTTTATTGGTGGTTACAACGCCTTTAGGTTGTCCGATGTGAACCTAGGGGCGAGGTTTTCGAAAGGGTGCTCTTGGATTGTCCGATAACCGGGCTAACCCAAGAGCTAGTTTTTGAGGGTCCACTGGAGTCGCCACCGATGTTTTTACCGGAAACATCGGAAAAGGAGTTTAAAAGGCGTTGGTTTTCGAAAAAACCAACTTTGGTCGTTAGAACCAGAGTTGGGTAAGGGAGTTAGTTACGTGTAAAGGAGGTGTTAGTTCCTTTACAACGCCCCTTTCGGGTTCCCTATGATATGCTAGCTATTTAAATGATTAAACCGGAAAGATACGCTTTTACCCTTTTATTTGCGGAATTTAAAATTACGACTACATGGCCCTAATATCTATTGCATAATTTAAATAAAGCAGTAAAAGATAGAGGGAGAAAGTAGAAACCTCCGGAGCAAGCTTTCTATTAATCTTTTGCAAATTAGGGTGCTTTTTGGCAGCCCTCCGCTCTTTACAATGCCGAAAATGCTCAAAAACACTCTAGAAAACTCTCAGAAACTCCAGAAATGCTTCGGAGGGGTTCTAGGAAGAGAATTTGAAGAAGTTGTAGAAGGGAAAGTGGAAGAACTGTGTGAAATGAAGGCAA